TACCTTTTTCATAAGTTAAAGTATTTCTTTTGCATACTTCTGTTTATGAACCACCCAATGTCATGAAGCTGAGCAAAACTGGAAACTTATTCTTGTGCATTTTCGAACTTGCCATTGCCATGTATGCCTCTGGGTATTGTTATCCTCCAGGTAAAGGTATCAAATGAATGCTTTAATTCTGCATGTCTAATGGTCCTTCTCTTCTTAATCCTAATCATATAAAACTTTTATCTGAAGCAATACCCATATTTATACAAAGAAGGTGGGTTGAAAAGCGGACAGGTTTAAATCCTGCTGCAGGCCATTTGGGCTTAGAGGCAATAATTTTAAAGGAATGTAAATAAGTTATAGTAATTTATTCTGAAATTCTAGGACATTTATTTAGAGTTTATTGGTGATCATATTTTATATTTGCCTTGCTTCCAATACTCTTTGTATGGCTTGGAATTAAGGTATTTTAAAAAGAACATGGATTTGTTTCTTTTATCATTTCTGTGGCTGCATTCATATTGCCCAAGTTGGTGGAAATATGGTAAGCTCTCTGGCAACTGTTAAGCTTAGGTGTTTATGACTAAATGAGAATAAGTGATTCTCTGGCTCCAATATAGCTGTATGTATATTTCCTGCTGTCAAGTTCTTTGAGGATAGGCTGGATCCATAATATTGCTTTCATTTAGATTCTACGACTGGGTAATTGTTCACAGGACTGTTCAGTGCAATACCTTTAAAACATATAGAGAAAGGGGCTATGAGTCTTCCTTAATGTTTTTAAAATCCAGGGGCTTAGTCCCTCTTTCCTCAGATGGAGTAAGGAAGGATGTTAGTCCCTGAATGATGGGCTTTGTGAATGCATCATTAAAAATTCTTTCTTTTGCAGAGTCCTGGGTTGCCTTGTAAAATACTATAATAGCAGAGTATCAGTCATCTATTAATGCAGTTTCTTCTTTCTAACAACATCCTGTGGAAATTGTACTGGTAAATACCTTAAATTTTACAGTCATGAATTATTGTTTTATCAGTGCTTAAACTCAGGCAAGGAATATTGTGGCTTGTTCCTTTGGCAGAATCACCACTGTAATGATACCTTAGCCCACAAGTCATATAATTGCTTAGAAATCCATCTTGTACAGTGTGCTCCTAATTATCTAGATTCAATAGAGAATACCTGCTGACTTCTAAGGACTTGTTGAAGCAAATATCTAGACTATGACTAATTTGAGGACTCTGTAATACTTTCAATATTAGAATATCATATTAGTATCAACTCTACAGGGTATAAATTTGTCATATGGCTCTTCCACTAAGTGGCATTTGCAGATAGAGGCATATATTATAGTGCTTATTACGAAAAAAGGATTTGGAGTCAGATCATTTTGGTTTCAAATCTTGTCTGCCACAGATCAGCTAAGTGACCTTGGGCAAGTTAATTAGTCCCTCTGGGCCTCAGTAAAGTGGGGAATAATAATACCCCTCAACTAAAAGAAGTTGTTATGAAGATCACGTAAGTTCATGTACATATTATTAAAGAGCCTAATACAGTGCCCAGAACATTGTAGACACTCAATAAAAGGGAATTATTTTTATTGCTTAATTATCAGATTTGTTGTGTCAGAATCTTTCATCTCTTTGCAGCATCTTGCCAATTTGACAGCAATGTTTCTCTATTGTAAGAAATCAGATCATGGCTTCCATCCACTTCATTGAGAGGACAAATGGTGGCCCTATGTGACAACGAACTGCAAAATAATGAGCTCCATGGTGAGTGAACTGGTTTTTTTCAACTACTAAACATCGTTCTGGCAATATCAACTATGGGACTGCTCTATCTCTTTAATTGGAGGAGACCATATTTGATTAGACCTGTGGGTCTTGGAGAAGAGTTAAGCTTGCTAGACAAGTTGCTGTTCTAAACTCTCAAAGTCTGGTACAAAATATTCTCTCATATATTCTCTCATTCTCTCATATATTCTCTCAAAATATTCTCTCATTCAGGCTTAATCTTGAATCCTTCATAAAGCCTCAGTTAACTTTCGGGCTGTCCTGTGTGTTTGCTGCAGTAATCCCACACTACTCCAGAACTTAGATCAGAACTTCTGCCAGACTGAACAACACAGCTCACTTTTGCCTTAGTCCCAACTCTCAGCCTTTTGGAATGACTACTTGAAGCTTTCTCTGTCTGGCTGTAATCAGTTTGGATGCTCTCTCACATTGGTCCTTGACATTTGGTTGAAACAGTGGCTCTCATCAACAATAATGAAGAGAATGGAACAAATTTATTGGTTTATACTTTAATATAGAAAATCCTCAATGCCTCTAAGACATTCAGATATTCTTGGATACTTAGAATTTTGAGTGGCAAAATATTCAAACATCCATGAACAGTAAGTAAAATAATATAGTGTATTTCTGTGAATATGCCTAATCCATGACTTATTTATTAGAAGAGAGTATGTAGCATATTAAAGTTTAAACTTTTCCATGACTAGATTCCTTATAAAACATCTACCTCAGACTCAGGCAGTATCTGTTAAATTTAAACATCTGTTTAATTTGGTTCTTCTCTCTTCCGGCTGTAAATTAGCTAACTCATGAAAAACCACTCTGTTTTTCAACATTGGAGAGAGGAGTATTTTAGTTCATTTTAATCTTCTTACTGTTTAATATTTTTTGGTAAATACAGGCACTGGGTTCTACTCTTTTTTTATGCAACCACTACAAATATAGGGAATTGGGGCTAAAATATACAATTGAGTTTCCAAGAGACTAATTTCTTTCCTTGTCAGTGGACTAAATTCTTGGGTAAATTGTCAGAGCCAATGTCTTCTGATCCTCTGAACAAAAGTATCTGCCATACGTTTGGCGTGCCACCAAAAGTGATCAGTAAATTAAGAGCAGTATTGTGGTTATTCTGTGCATTAGGAACTTCCAGTTACTCCTAGCAATTTTGCAATAATAGAGATTCACTTTTCAGATTGTGAAGTGTTTTAGAGTGTAATCAGTCAAAGAAAAGTGCTTTTGAGGGGACATCTCTCAATGGACACATTATAATTCAAGTTCTGTTACATTTAACCAAAAGAGCAAATTATAAGCTCATAGGCATAGTTCAGTCTCACTAAAGTCATCCAAATATTACAAATGAGAAATTAAATTAATAGTTGTAACTTGTTCATATTCATCATAGTGGAAGAATTACAGGCAATGATTTGAAAGCTTCAGATCTAGTCTTCTGCATTGAGAATAGCAGAAACACAACAGCATTCTGACATCTTGACTATTTAGCAATCTGTTCATCCTTAATTTAAAAATATTTTTTACCCTGCAGCTGCCAAAAGTGTAATGAAAAACATGTCTTTTGAATTTCAACTATGTTAAGAATGGTAATGTTATTAACTTTTCATTGGGAGAATTTAAGGAGGAGATGTAAAACCAGAGACAAAAAGAGGGATCAAGATGAATAACATAATGCCTTGGGTTTTTAAAAAATACCATAATATTTTTTCCGATAATTTTGAACTTTTATACTTTTTATCTTAAAATGTATTAATAATATATTTAAGTTAAGGAAACGGTCTGACTAGAACATGAATATTTTAATTCTAATAAATCAATGGTATCCTCAACATCATTTCAAAATGGAAATGCAGTAGTTACTTATAAACAGATGTTTCTCATTGACATTCCCCTAAGTGTTTAGGGCTGTCCCTTCACATTCCTTATATATCAAAAGCTGCTCCAGTCCGTTGATTAAAGGAGTTCCCATCCATGGTCACTGGAGGTTTTTCTCTAGTCCCTTCCTTCCTAATGTATATAATAGTGTGAATAATTCCTTCTTTTGGTCCAACCTCTACTCTTGCTCTTCTCCAAAAAGGAAAGGGAGAGGCATAGGAAAAGTATCAGAAACCAGATGACTGGGAAGAATTGTAGGAAAATATGGGATTAGAGGCTCTGTTTCAGGATACAGAATCTCCAGAGTGGGGGCATCCAAGGTTTTTCAGAAGTAAGTCTCATAATCAGAAGTTGATCTGTGGATTTTTATAATAGTGGTAAATTGAAATGGTTCCAACCAGTTTGTGACTCCAAGGAAAGTCAAGAGCCTGTGGAGGTTTTATTCATATGTAATTTTTGCTTTCTTCATCATCCCAGAGTTTTGTGATGTCACTTAATACAATTAAATTTGATGCAATCAAAAGTAGATCATTTAAACTATCATTGAATCATAATTACTTATTGATTCAAAGCTGAGAGTATTAAATACTGATGGTAGCAGGGTAGGTTATTTAGCTCAGGGTAAACTTTTTAAAAATAAAAATGTCAGATGGTCCAAACTGGGATTAGGCAGGCCACATGTGAGCATGAACAGCATGTTGGATGTGCAGACAATGGTTGAGATTAGAATTTGGGGTGGTGGGGTACCTTTACCCCAGAGTTTAACAAGCAGAGATAAGCATAAGAGGAAGATCTGATTCTTCTGTTAATGCTAACTCTGATTTTTCATAGAAAAGTTGTTTTCTGTGGTTTTTCAGTTCTACAATTCTACTAGTGAAATTCTTTACATGCCAAAGTTGAAGAGACAGAGAGGTCAGTCAGCTTACCCTTGCAGTGAATTACTGTGTAATCATTCCGTTACTGTGAGAAAACATTTTCCTAAGCAATAAATAAGTGATTTATAAGTAAAATTTTGGAAATGACTTGTCAGAATTGCCTATATATCTTTCTTTACAAATGTATATAAAAGTGTGAGGAAAAAAACCCACAAAAATAGAAAAAAACTCCCCTGCATTTCAAATAAAATGCTTAAATATATTTTTTTCTTATTCTTAGTATTTGTCAAGCACTGCAGTAAATTCATTTTCCCCTGTGCTGAAAAAGTTTCTAATTGGCTTCATAGTGACCTCATGAAAGCACAGTAAAAACACTTAAAATTTTTTCTAATCTTTGTTACCACAGTAGAAGATAGTATTTTTCTAATTAAAGGTGTCAACAAGAAATTCATTTCTTACCTTGTCAGAAGGTTTGAATGGATTTCCTTGTCCACTAATTCCACCACTGATACTAAATCCAAGACCAGGATTCTTTTCTATTCTCACACAAAACTATGTAAAAAAGATATAAAAAAGTAATCAAATAGCTATAAAATCTAAATATTTTCAAATAACTGCATCCCCATAGAAAAGATTAACATTTCACTTGAGTTCTTAGCCTATGTTGATTTGGTACACAAAAGGCAGTAAAAACTGAAAAAATGTTTAGTGTTCCTGTAGGCATCAGTTATGATGGAAACTAGCTTGAAATTACCTGGGCAAGCAGATAATAGTAAGTACTTATTTGTTACCACATACAAGACTAAATTTTGATTAGCTGTTTTTAAAAATTAAAAGTCTGATAGACACTTAAAAGATTGTGCATTATCTTAGGTATCTACCATAAATGCAACATGCATTCAGACTGATTGGGAAGGACAGTATGAACAAAGAAAAGAAAACTTTCAAATACAGAGTGAGGGGAAATAATGGCTATTTCAATAAGTTGCTTCTGCTTTCTAGTAGAGCAGTACAATTCATCTCCTTGATAGATAATTGTATCATTTAGGAATATTAGGGCTTTTTGTTTGAGAAAGGGGCCATAGCTTGAGTGAGGACAAAACAAAGGAAGAATGAAATGCTCAGTGAAAAGAGTTTTCAGTCTGGCAGCAGCTCCTGGAGTAGGAGGAGTTAGGGGCCTTAGAAGAAAGAGGAGAACAGCGTGAATAGTTTAAGAAAGAGATCAACAATGTGGAGACATTGTTTGTGACAGGGAATGACCAATAAATGTTTAGTACTGTGAAGGCTAATATTCTGATGTTCTGTGGTATATTATCTCCTCAATACCCTAAATCATCAATAAAAGTCTGTTAAACAGGAGAGCCTTGTGTTTTATAGTAGTATGGGGAAATGATGGCATTGAGGTAAGGCTATAGCAAAGATGATAGCTATTATAAAAGTTAATGCAGGGTGTGGATCAAGAAGTCAGCAGAAGGGAAATCAGTGTGAGGGATGACTTAGAGAAACTATAAAACTTAAGAACTCTTGGTGATCCTGAGCTGGGGATGTATGTGTGGGCTAGTTCTCCAGGTAAAGTGGGACAGGGTGACCCCAGATAGATATTTGAAAGACTTGGGACCAAAAGGTAGCATACTTCAGTTATATAAAGATAAAAAAACCACTCTTATAACTTTTAACTGCAGAATAAGTACTAAAACAAGGTGAAAGAGGTGTTACCAGAGGTGAGCAGGCAAAAGATTAATGAAGAGTTAGGAAAAAAAAAAAATCAGAAAATACATTAGCATATATTTTGTATTTATATAAATATATACTGGAAAAGTTCTTAATGGTGATTGGAAATGTTTGTTTTCTTAAATAGCTTAATGTTTTTTTCTCCACCATTTTTGCTTAGTTTATTAATTTGCTTGTGGAAAATGTACATGCCCAAAATACTCTCTGTATTTTTATAGTAAAGGGACCTTTAATCCTTACCTCTTAGGTAGGTCAAGGCAAACTTGAATCCTATTCCTTGAATCACATATTGTCACTGGAACCTGGATCAATTAGGTTTGTCTGTTTAATGGGACTATCCTTAATTCACTGTCATATTTCATAATAGTAAATATAATGTTTAGCTATTACATAATTCACTTGCAACACAATGGCAAAAAAACTATCCACTAATGTGATTTTCATGGTAGAGTCATTAATGAACAGTTTCTAAATTATGGGTAAATGCTATTACCATAAGTACTTCCCATAATTTTATTTTAAAGATACATTTAATTGCAACTTTTTCTTCACTTGAGCTAGATTTGTTAAAACTACTTACCATAGAGTGGTAGAAACTACAGCTTATAATAGTTTATATGTATATGGCTCACAGTCTATGGATATGAACATATAATAATTTGATGTATCTGGAAGGAATAATTAATTTAGCTTTATTCAACATTCCAGTGTACCTTTTTGTTATTTATTAATTATAAAATGAGAAGAAAGCAACCAATATAATTAAAACACTTTTATTTTGTTTTTTCCCATGTATCTATGCATTTCCAATTAAATTATTTAAAATTGGGGTTATATCTTTCTAACATAAAAATTTCATATAGCACAATGTAACATGTGGAAGGTGTATGCACTTCTGGCTTTCCCCAGACCAATATAAAACCTGAAAGGAAACAAATGCAACAGATTTTATTTGCAAAGTAAATTGCTGAGAGTAGTCTCCAGTTGTTCTCTTTCAAGGTAGTGACTATATCTATTTGATATTATTGTAAATCTGGAGGGCACTAAAAATCTAAGGGAAATGAATTTCATATGTGCCAAGTTATATGAAAAACTGCCTCAATATATTTTTTAATAATAGAAATAATAAAGATGATATTGTGGTTTTATAAGTGTGACAAACAAACATAAATTCTGATCTGAAGCTAGCCTACTCTTGGGCATGCTAAGGTATGGCTAATAGGTTGTGTTGTGACTATTGGGTCTCATAAAGCATGTCAGAGAGAGTACTCATCTCACATATAAGGAGTTCCACCTGCTGCTGAGGCCCAAAGAAGCCATAAAATGTAAGAGGGGAGAATACCTCACTGCCAGAAGCAGTCTGAAACTGGAGTATTAGCAAGGAGGAAATGCAGTGTTCCAACAAAAGGTCAGGTCTAAGAAGCTAATAAATAGTTTATTTAATGAGAATCAGTATTTCAGTTATCTTTTGAGAGACTGATTTTCAAAAAATGACATCTCTGGCTGAAAACATATGGAGCACTTTGGTAACAATGGTGCATTTGAGTCTTTCAGAGATGGTTTCCATCATTTGACTTTACTTAATACTTCTGGTGTGTGTTAGTCTTACTCTAGTTATAATACTGGGTCTTGTTTTAGAGAGAACTTCATTACAAAATGGATTGCTATGTTACAGTGAGGTCCTATGAGGTCATAATCTGTAATCCATAGTGGGTAGGGTCTGACTTGGTCCCGCAATACTCTAAAACCTAGTAGCAGAGGAACACAGGAAGTAATGCTCTGTGTGTGTGTGTTTGGGGAGGTGTAATTCAGGATTAGGGAGTAACAGAAAGATACCTGGTAAAGCCATAATGAAGTGTCTTCTTAGTGACCATTCTCTTTCCTTGCAGTGTATATCATACGACTTTTAGTAGACACTTGTTTCTGCTCCCCAAGATGCATTCATTCTTCTTCTGGCAGCTAAACCTTAATTTCTCTTTGAAGAACCACTCACTTTCTTATGCTCAGCCTGTATGCTCTGGGTTCGTTATGTTATCTAGACCTAAAACAAAGCACTGTATTCCCTAAAAATGTGATTGTTTACAAAATGGGCAGGTAACCCAATCAAAAAGGAATTATGAGATTTCTACTAGGATTTCCAGAAAAGAGAATCTTGCTCCTTCTTGCTAGTTTTAAATGAGAAGATCTGAAGCTCTCATAGCCATCTTTCTACCACAAGGAAGAAGTCTGTCTGAGACAGAAACCAACCCATGGAGAAAGAAGTCATGAATTCCACTGAGCCTAGCATTAATTCTTATCTGAAGCATGCCCTATCCCTGGAATTTCAGCTTATATGAGTCAAAACATTCTGTTTTTGATTAAGTCTTATTATTTGAGTCACTCGTAATTAGGTGTCCTAGTGGATAAAAAAATCTAGGGAAATCTTGTTTATTTGCAAATGTAAAAGAAACTTTTTTATTGTCTTTTATTAAAAAAGAAACTAAATTAGACACTTGTTTGAAAATCCCCTTGGTAACTCAAACAACTAGAACCTCAAATATCCTACACTGTATGAAATTTAAGGGAAGGTTTTCACCCATTGGAGGGTTGTTAATTTCTGAAGCATCAAGAAGAAAGCTTATAACTAAGAACATTTCACCTCTGAAGCCATTTCCAGGCCTGAACCCTGGGAGGGTTATCATAGAGAAGCTCTGCTGAAGAAATATCCACATCTATTAATATATGGTTTTCCATGCAAGTGGGACATCTGAATCACTTCCTTATGTCTATTATCTCTTCATTGACTATGTAGAGCAACAGCTGCCACATAGCACTCAATTAAGTTTTGCTTGAATAAATAAATGAATGAGATAATATGAATGTTCAGCCAAGGATACTTTCAAATATACAGCAGCAAAAGGATATAACAGCTCCTTGTTAAAACACATGACCAATTTTAGAATGAATTCCAGTTATTCAAAGAGTGCTTCAATTATATAATCAACTACTTTGAAAAACCATTATAGCTTTGAAAATGAAAATTATTGCAGAAATCATGATTCATGCCTTTATTATACAAATATTTATTGATTCCCTACTAAGTGCCAGGAAGATAAAAAAATGTTTGACCTCATGGAACTTACATTCAAATGAGGAAGATAGGTACTAAACATAAAAGCAAACAAATAGGCTGGGCGCGGTGGCTCACGCCTGTAATCCTAGCACTCTGAGGGGCCGAGGCGGGAGGATCGCTTGAGGTCAGGAGTTCGAGACCAGCCTGAACAAGAGCGAGACCCCGTCTCTATTAAAAATAGAAAGAAATTATCTGGACAACTAAAAATATGTAGAAAAAATTATCCGGGCATGGTGGCACATGCCTGTAGTCCCAGCTACTTGGGAGGCTGAGACAGAAGGATTGCTTAAGCCCAGGAGTTTGAGGCTGCTGTGAGCTAGGCTGACCCCACAGCACTCTAGCCTGGGCAACAGAGTAAGACTCTGTCTCCAAAAAAAAAAACAAACAAACAAACAAATAATTCCAGACAGTAAAATGAGCTGTTGAAAAAATAAAGAAGAAAAGGTAGTAGAGATTGATTGAATGGGGGTGAGCAGCTATTTTAGATAGAGTAGACAAGAGAAGCCTCTCTGAGTATGTGACATTTGAGTGGAAATGTAAATGATGTTAAGGATAAGCAATGGACAACAAGAAAAATGGAAAACTATCCTAAGCAGAGGAAAAAGGCAATTGTAATTGTCCTAAAGGTGGATAGGTCTTTATAAAGTCAAGAAACAACGAGATGACATAAGGACAGACATATAGATCAATGTAATAGGATTGAGAGTCC